CTCATCAAAATCCGTTGCGCAGTTTAAAAGATTTAATCCTTCATAAGGATGTCCATATGAAAGAGAACGACTTTGTTATATACAACGTAGTATTTTAGTGAGCTTCGGCAGGAATGAGTCGACTATAATGAAGTGATACCATGGCCTTACAGAAATCCCTGTTTAGCCTGCTTCATCGAATGAATGACGTCAGTGAAGACCCAATCCTCAATCTCCAAAATCCCCCAATCTCCTGGAGGCTTTCAACGTACTCGCAACTCCCCTGGTGGTTGCAGGTGTCCAAGTGCGGCGCCGATTGCTTATCATCGGGTGTGTCTTCTCGTTTGCTGATGTATTCTATAAAACAGAGCGAAGGAGACCTATGCTGTGTCAAAAATGTCCTTTTCCATTACAAATGGAGTAGAACCTAAGTATGTGCTTGGCTGCTTTTTATATTTGCATTGCCTGTTCGATCGATGAAGATCTTAACTGAATACCAGTGGAAAGTACTTAGTGACAAAATGTAAATAGTTTTTGTGAGGAGAAAATCAGCAAATGACTTCTCCCGCCCAGGTTAACCTGTCTCGCATACGGTCGCTGCATATGCTGAGCGAGGACCATTTCGCGTGTTTATAACGCATACGCAAGCATACGGCGCGTAGCGTTCCTGGCGCGTTTTAAAGAGCCAATAGACCACCACAGACGGGGCCCTTTATAGCTGATGTTCAGCCGGGGTTGCGGGGTAGGCGCAATGATGAATGCACCTCGGCCTAGGCCCAGAGCAGGAGAAGGAACAGGGGGATTTTATGTCAGTAAGAGTCTGGCACTCCCTCTCACCTCACCCTGGGCGGGAGAAGTCATTTGATGATTTTCTCCTCACATTTATTTTATTCACATGTTTATTTTTTTGTCAAAAAAGTGTTACGTTTGCCCCGCAACCCCGGCAGAAGCGCGCTAGAACCGACCGGTGTGAGTTTTCCGAGTTATAACTGTCTACTTTCTAAGTTTTAGACACCAATGACAAATGGTAAAGTGAACCACCGTGAAAATACCGTGATTTTTGATATTGGTTAACGGTTTAAGAAAAACTTTTTTTGAGTTCTTTCAGTTTCCGAAAGTTTTATAGCACCAAGTCTAGGACTGTTCTTGAAGTAGGACAAAAACCATTGTTCTCTTTCAGAATTTGGACAAGTGACAGTATACCTAATTAAATGTTACAGACTACAACAAACAATTACTGTATACATACCTAATTGAAGAAATTGATGATCAAGCAAGCAATTATGCCACTACGTATTGTCAGCGCGGAAAAATAATATTCTAATCAAATTTTGCAATCACGAAATCTCTACATGAAATCAGTTATAATTTTTAATTAAATTAGTGTTTGGTTTACGAAACAGATTATATCAATCACATAATCACAATTCATATAATCGTTGACACATAGTTTTTTATATGAATCAGATTAATCGAGTATGTCCGGTTATTGCGTATGTATATTCCAAAGTACATTTTTTATGTGATAAGTCGGCAAACGAGCAGACGGATTACCTGATGGGAAGCAATCAGCGCCGCCCATGGACGTCCGCAACAACAGAGGAGTTATGAGTGCGTTGCTGACCTTAACGGGATTAGGGGATTTAAGGATTGAGAGACAGGATTGGGTCTTCGCAAACCACACTCATACGATGAAGCAGGCTAAGCAGTGTTCTCACATAATTGAACCAACTGTTTCTATAAGGAATCTGTATGTGAAACTGATTTAAAAAGAGTAACCTTTTTTTTTGTCAGGGGAAAATCATCCAATGACTTCTCCCGCCCAGGGTAACGCGAGAGAGAGTGTCAGACTCTTACTGACTAAAAACCCCCCCGTTTATTCTCCTGCTCTGGGCCGAGGTCACACCAACCCCGGCTGAACATCAGCGCTATAGGGTCCCGTCTGTGGTGGTCTATTGGCTCTTTGAGGCGCGCGCGGAACGCTACGCGCCGTACGCTTGGGTTCGGTTCTGGTCGGGCGGCGAGCTACCCTTACTCGCCGTCCGCAGACCCGCGCTTACGGTGGCCGGAGATCATCTCTCGATCCCCGACGTCCGGAATGTCTGTCGCCTTCTGCGGCGGCTGGGACGCGAGGAGGATAGTTCCCTCACGCGCTCCGCCTCCTCCTTTGCGAGCATAACTGCTTTGCAGAAGGAGGAGATAGCTTCGCAGTTCCTCTCACGCTGCACCATGGCCTCGATTAAGGCCGGGCGCGAGAGGTCACCGCCGCCGATCACTTCCCTGAAACACAGCGGTGCTCAACCCAAGCAGGGCACTCCGCCACCGAAAAAAAAGAGTAGGTAACCATGGAGTTTCTTGTTCGTTTTTCTCTATTGGAATCTACACTTTGGAACGAGCAAAAAAAAAGACTGACCGACAGACTGACACTTTATATCTTCAAAATTTTGTTTGACGTTCAAAAGTGCCTGTGAGGGCCTAATTGACGTAAATGATTTTTTTCATTTTGTGACTTTAGCAGGGTTCTCTATTTAAGGCTGAGGTATCACTCCGGTCGAGCCGACCCAATTGTATCGAAGCATGGCTCTCCAACATTTAACCACTCCCACATTATTTCGTGTACAGGATGAACTCGGCTTACTAAACTACACTTCAAGTCAAAGACAAAATTAGATTATTTATTTCAATTTCAATATTAAAGGTACTTAGACCGTCAAACAACGATTTGAAGGTAAAAAATGTCAGTCTGTCGGTCAGTCTTCTAGTGAAGAACTGATTCTAAAAAAGAGTAGGTAAGCATGGACTTTCTTGGTCATTGTTCTCCATCGAAATCTACATTTAGGAACGAGCAATACCTTCACTTAGAGGACTAACCTACAGACTGGCACTTATTTGCTTTTAATCTTTGTTTCACGTTCAAAAGTACCTTCGTATAGGTAATAATATAATTAAAATAAAATGAAATCACTTGGGCCTTGACGACACCCAGGTTATACCGTCGGGGATAACAGACTCTGGCAAGAAATTCCACTCCTTAGCAGTAGGTACTGGTAAAAATCAGCACCGCCCATGGGCAGTCGTAACACCAGAGAAGTTACGTGTGCATTTTCGGTTTTTTCTGGGTCGGGATTTTAGGACTCCGGAATATGGGGATCGAGAATAGCACAGGAGATTTTGGACCTCTGTTTACCCCACTCACATGGCGAAACACAATGCTGTGAATCTATCACGCCGGTTTTCTGTGAGCCCGCTGGTATGACTCCTGTCTAGCTGGTTCATTTGTGCCAAGGACTCACCTAATAATCCCGTAATGGATTGCCACAGGCTGTTACCATGTAGCTGACTAATACGAAGGAACTATTGAGATTGGTGGTCAATCGCAATAAGGTACTACAGCCGGTACTACTTAGGTATGGGGTGCTTTTTAGTCAGTAAGAGGCTGACACTCTCTCGCTCCACCTAGGAAGGTAAAACTCATTGGATGAGTTTTCCCCCTTAAAAAAGGCATAAGCAGAATGGTGCTTTAAGGATTCGTGTTTGGTTTAATTAAATCGCTTATTTAAGTTTCCTCAGTGAAGTGGTCGGCCAAGTCGAGCCATTGTGCAACATTGGGCAGGGGTGCAGAAAACATCCTCTTTACGCCTTCGCAGCTGCAGGAGATACCCTAAGTTTCGAGCATAGCGTGAGTATCCCTGGTCACAGTAATTACGGGTCTACGGACGGTACGCAAGCATAGTTCGTTCTCCGCGCGCCCGAGCGTCGTAAGGCCACCACACATGGGGTCTCATATAGGACCGAGATGATCTTCACCCAGGGCGGGAGAAGTCATTGGATGATTTTCCTTCCCAAAATGGGGGTGGTTGGTTCCATTTTTTTATGTTATAGGTCGTCAAACGACCAAACGGATAACCTCATGGTAAGCAAACAGGGATTAGGATTAGGGATTGAGGAGGGATCATTTCCATCTCATTCACATGGCGAAACACAACGCTGTGGTTGTTTCACGCCGGTTTTCTGTGAGGCCGTGGTATCAATCCGGTCGAGCCGACCCATTCGTGCCGAAGCATGGCTCTCCCACACTTAAATATCATCCTTTTTCCTCTTGGTGGTATACGGTGAAATACCCTACTTGCCAAATTTCGTCCGAGTTCATAAGTTACAATTTTGGCGCTATGCACATCACAGAAAACCGGCTTGAGGCAGCACTTAGGTACGTGGTGTTTCCACGTGTGAGGTTACTGGAGGTCCAATCCTACCCCTATACTCAATCTTCAAATGGCTTATCCTTAACTCCCTAATAACTTACAAGAGGCCGGCAACGTACTTGTAGTACCTACTTTGGTATTGTCCATGAGCGTCCATGGGCGGCGTTGATTGCTTACCATCAGGTAATTTGTCTGCTCATTTGCCGACTTGACATAGAAAAATATGCGTTCTAAAATGTACAGACAGAAAACAGATAAGGGAACCAGCATTACTTTTATATTATTTAAATACCTAAGAGTTTAAAAACCTTATGATTGTTTACACGAGTAGTGTGATCACGAAGCAAAAACGGGTTGTTTACTTCATCAGTAATTATTATTTATTATATTACTTCATCATGCAATTCCTTTTACAATAACTGTTCTAACTTATCTATAAAACTCCGCTTTTGAGAATATGATCCTTATCTTTTGGGTGTCCAAGGGCGGCGACGAGGGCTTACCATCAGGTAATTCGTCGGCTATGTTGCCAACCGCAAGATATTAGAATAGACAATTAGCGACTAGCAGTATAAATTACACGCGGTCGTGAAAGATAGCTAGTGTCTGAATAAAATAAAAAAAACCTTGGGTAACAAAAATCAAATTTAATTGCATACAAATACATATAAATTTGATAGACTTAATAACAATTGAATAATATAGGTATAATAAAACTTCATTCTAGATAAAAACATTTATATACATTAGGTATAACATTGAATTTATAGAATAAAAAACAGAATTTTATAGTTTTTTTTTTACAAAAAATCCCTAATTTTCTAACAATTTTTTTTTACATTATAATATTATAATTCATAGAGAAAACTTAATAACAATGTTTTTACAAAAATACATTATAAATCTAATCAATGTCAAGATTCAGTCCATTCTTCCAGATCCTCAGAGACTCGGGTATTTCCATTTTATCCGGAATCTTCTCGAATGGGTAATTCTGGTAATCCTGCCAGAAGAATGGGCGGACTGTGCGGAACCCGTTGTCGAACTTGGCGAGGGTCGCCATGTCATCCTTGTCCAGTTCGAAATCAAAAATGGACGCGTTCTCTACGACTCTGGATGGAGTTACTGTCTTTGGGATGCTGACTATACCACGTTGGTACTGGAAAAAATGTTGAATTGGTAGGTAATGTGTGTGTGATATTTTTACTTAATTTATTGTTTTGGAAGGAAGTTGCTTATCGCGTGTTGCGAAAGGGGACTAGACGGAAAAATAAGACGACTAACTTGTATGTAAACTTTGCTATCTCTCTTTATCTCTTTCTTTCTTTCTTTCTTTCTCTCTCTCTAAAAGTCTCAAAGAAAATTGTCTCTCTCTCTGTTTCTGAGTCTTTTTTTTATAATGCTAGTTATTTTCATTACGTCTTTCTATTTCACATTGAAGAATGTGATGTCGCTTTTTAAATTTGCATTAAGTACATTTGTTTGTTCAATAATTATTAAAAAGATATTATAATAATTTCTTTACTAATTATTCGACATTTAGTTTATTCATTGATATTATGGTGAATCAACAAATACAGTATAAAAAATCATCATCATCATCATCTGACCCGTCCACTGGAAATTGGACATAGACCTCTCCACATCATCAGCCTATAAGTGCACACTGCTAAGTAAAGGTCCTCGTCTCACACGGAGGAGGTTTGAGCATTAATCACAATGCTTGCTCAAGGCGGATTTTCCATTTTAGACTTATAATTAGAAATCATAAGTCCAGGTTTCCTCGCGATGTTTTCTTTCACCGTGTCTCAGTGGTGTCTAAATAATCATAGAAAGTATATATAGCTCGGAAAAAGTCACATTGCTACAGGTTCCGAATCCTCATGCATGACAAGAGAGCACCTTAGCGTGTGAGCCAGCATCTCATCTTCCTGCCCTTGTCCCGGTTTATTTGGGGTTGGCGCAATATGTTTTTTTCTTCCATTCTGTCCTATCACTCGTCACACTATCACTAACTCCTCTGTCTTCCATATCACTTCTCACACAATCCATCCATATTTTCTTTGGTCTCCCCCTCCCTCTTCAACCATCCACATTTATACTCATGACTTTTTTTGTAACATGCTTTTCATCCCTCCTTTTCACATGGCCATACCAAGACAAACGGTTCCCTTTCAACTTTTCAGTCACTGGCGCCACTTTCAAACTTCCTCTAATATACTCATTTCTCACTTTATCCATTCTCGTCACACCACACATCCATCTCAGCATTCTCATCTCTGCTTCATGCAATCGCTTTTCATCCGTCTTTTTCAGAGCCCAACATTCTGAACCATACAGTAGGACAGGCCTTATCACTGACTTGTAGATTTTACCCTTCAACCTGAGGGGCATCCGTGGGTCGCAAGTTGTTCCAGTGACTTGTCGCCATTTCATCCATCCTGATTTGATCCGATGTGCCACGTCTCGGTCTATCTCACCATTTCCTTGGATAAGCGAGCCAAGGTACCGAAAATCAGAACAGGTTGGTATGGGCGTTCCGGCGAGAGCTATGGGCACAGAACTAGAGAGACCGCCAAAATCGCAGAACAAGTACTCTGTTTTAGTTCTGCTCAATTTTAGGCCAACACTCTCCAGTCTATGCCACCACACCTCCAATCTGCTCTGGACCTCTAGGGCACTCTCGGCAACCAGCACAATATCATCGGCAAACAGCATACACCAGGGAGCCTCTTCCTGAATGTCCGACGTCAGAGCGTCCATTATTATCAGGAAGAGGTAAGGGCTGAGAGCCGACCTTTGGTGTAAACCGACAGCCACATTGAACTTGCTAGTGGTGCCCGCTGCAGACCGGACTTGTGTACTGCAGCGACTATACATTGATCGGATCAACTGCACATACTTCCCAGGCACACCTTTCTCCTTAAGGGCCCACCACAGAACCTCACGAGGTACCCGGTCGTATGCCTTTTCGATGTCAACGAATACCATGTGCAAGTTTTTATGTGCACCTCTGTATTTTTCGCACAACTGGCGTATAGCAAATATGGCATCCGTTGTACTACGACCAGGCATAAAACCGAATTGGTTCTGTGAAATGTCACTCTCTTCTCTCAGCCGCCGTTCAATAACTTTCTCCCACACTTTCATGGTATGCGACATTAGCTTTATTCCTCTATAATTGTTGCACTCAAGGACATCACCTTTGTTTTTAAAGATGGGCACCAAAGAACTGTTGCACCATTCATCAGGTATGGTTTCTTCCTGCAACAATTTATTGAAGAACAAAGCCAACCACACCCATCCATCTACTCTTAATAACTTCCACACCTCAACTGGTATTCCATCTGGGCCAATGGCTTTACCATTTTTCATTCCGTTCACTGCTACTCTGACTTCCTCCATACTAACCATTCTCACTAACCCCACATTCACTGGTTTATTCTCTAAATCCCCACTCCAATTATTTTCCTCATTCATAAGTCTTTCAAAATATTCCTTCCACCTCTCTTTGATTTTGTCGTTATCCGATAGAACCATTCCACTTTCATCTCATACACATCTTACCTGGCAAACATCCCTCGCCTTTCTTTCCCTCATTTTAGAGAGCCGGTACAGCTCTTTTTGGCCTGCAGGACTGTCTAATGTATCATATAGTTTGTCCTGGGCTATTGCTTTTGCTATTGCTACGGCTTTCTTTGCTTTTTTCTTTAAAGCATCATACTCACTCTTTCTTTTAGCTTTCAAACTAACATTATCTGTTTGTACGCACTGTCATTCCTTGAATTTTTTCTTCTTTTCTTTCAATACATTCTGAACTCCTGTCGACCACCACCATGTATCTCTAGCTATTCTGCCCTTTCCTTTCTACTCTCCCAAAATATCTTTCGCTGCTTGCCTTATACATTCAGCCATCTCATTCCAGCTTTCATTTATACTTCGATCATTCATGTCTCCTATCTCTATCATTGTATCCACCACCCGCTCTCTGAACTTCTTCGCGCAGTCATTCCTCTCTAGCCTGTGCCATTTTTTTCTAGGGGGCGGGCGCTCTTTCGTTTTCCTACAATGTATTTGAACCACTGATGTCATAACCAGGAGTCTGTGTTGTGAGACTAAGTCTTCTCCTGGCAGCACTTTGCAATCCATCACATACTTTAAGTGGTTGCGCCGAACTAGAAAGTAATCTATTTGCGTCTTATGATTACCACTTTTATACGTGGCCAGGTGTTCATCTTTTTTCTGAAACCACGTATTGGCTACTGCTAGATCAAATGCAGTAGCGGATTGCAACAGTGTCTCTCCTTCATTGTTTGGATTTCCGAAACCCCATCCGCCATGTACTCTAGCAATAAACAAAAAAATACTTACCAAATATCTCAAAGTGACTTGTGTAACAGACTTGCCGTATTTCTTCCCAATGGCTACCATTGTGGGGTTGTTAAGCTTCGGTTCGGGAGAGTTGGGGGCGCTGCGGGAGGGTACCATCGTCCCGAAGGGGGAGTAGGCTACAATCAGCACATTGTTGGCCTGGCAGTAGTCTACTAACTCCTTCTGGCCGAGGTTCAGGTTTATCTGCGAAGAAAAAAAATAATAGTAAGACCTTTTATAATCCAAAACATATTATTAAGTGTAGGAGTATGCTTCGGCACGTATGGGTTGGCTCGACTGGACTGATACCAACGGCCTCACAGAACACCGGCGTGAAACAACCCACAGCATTGTGTTTCGCCGTGTGATTGAGGTTATTGAAGGCCTTATCTTTCCACTCATCCTCAAGAATAAGAAAAGCCCTTTTGTTGGTTATTACGTATTTATGGACCACATACAACAACAAAAAAAAAACAGTTCGGTATCTGTTTGAAGATGTAGGACTAAAACTCGCAAGACTATAACCTACACTAGCGCCATCTATGATATGCAATAATAGAATGGAACTACACCTACCTCAACCTGATTGGTGGAAGGTGGGACCTTGCAGTTTGCCAAAAGTCTCTTCATCTGTTCCACATTGAAGTTGGAAACTCCAATGGACTTGGCGAGGCCTTTTTTCAGCACAGTCTCGAATCCGCGCCAAGTTTCTAGGTAGTCGATCTTCTCATCAACTCCGTCTTGCTGAAATTTTTAAAAAGGGATTGTTATTATATTTATTACTAGCTACTGTCGAGCGGTTTCACCCGCTGCTCGGCTCTATTTAATCGTAGCGTGATGTTTTATAGCCTATAGCACTCAGGAATATTGTAGCTATCTATCAGTGAACGAATTTTGGAAATCCGACCTGCGGTTCCAAAGATTACCCCTACATATGTATAAACTTACAAACATACAAACTTACAAATTCTACTTTGTAATATAATAGAAGTATAGATATATAACAAAACAGATTATTCATCATCATTATCAGTCTGATTCCGTCCACTGCTCGATGCTCTTCTCATCCAACCAATCCCGGCCACTCTGCGGATATCGTCAGTCCACCTAAGTGGAGGGCGCCCTACATTACGTTTGCCTAGACGTGGTCTCAAATAGTCTCAACTCCAGATCATGTCTACTCCGATGGTCATCGGTCGTACTGACAATGTCCACGTATCGGCTCCGTATAGCATCACTGGTATAACACACTCATTGAAGAAAAGTCTTCCAGTCCAGTCCAGTCTACCAGGCTTTGCGGTGTCTTTGGTGAGAATACCCGACCAAATGGAATTAATGTCCTAAAATTTTCATCAGAATCACAAACAAACGTTATTTTTTCGCGTCTAGGACGCATATACGACACAAAATAAACAAGTGTTTAAACATAAAAAACCAAAAAACAAGGTAATACAATATAAAAAAAGGGTAGGTAATATAAGGTAGGTAATATAATATAATAAAATTTGCGTCACAAGCACGCGAAATGGCCTTCGCTCAGCATATGCAGCGACACTACGCGAGACAGGGTCACAGCGCTGATTTTCAGCGATGGCCGACATTAAGTACCGCGTCCTTAGCATGGAGCAGAAGATAGAAAGAGGGAGTTTTTAGTCAGTAAAAGTCTGACACTCTATCTCGCCTTACCCTGGGCGGGAGAGGTAATTTGATTTTCTCCTCACAAAAAAAGTGTGGGATTAGGGGATAGGTGAAGGGAAGGTACAACTTAAGCGATCTTTCACGCCGGATTTCTTTGAGGCCGTCATGTCATTCTAGTTGACCTGACCCATTTGGTTTGTAATTTTGTATATACTTGTTGCGGGTTGTTGTTGGAACAATGTTGCGAGTGCAAGCCCAATAATGTTGCAGGTTAAGCGCAATGAGTCGCCGCGGCCTCGGCGCAGAGCAGGAGAAGGAACGGGGGGGTTTTTAGTCAGTAAGAGTCTGACACTCTCTCGCCTAACCCTGGGCGCGAGAAGTCATTTGATAATTTTCCCCTGACTATAAAAGCCCAATAATTTACCACGGCCTCGGCCCGGAGCAGGCGGAGTAACGGGGTGGTTTTAAGTCAGTAAGAGTCTGACTTTTTCACCTCTCCACTCAGGCCGAGAGAAGAGATACGTTTAAAGAGTTTTTCCCCATCAGAAAAAAAGTGTATACTTACAGAGATAGACATGGGCCAGTGCATGAGCACAAGGTCGACGTAGTCCAGGTTGAGGCGGCGCAGCGAGCCTCGCACTGATACTTCCACATCAGCCTCGCGGTGGAAGTGATGCCAGACCTGGAATCACAAGCAAATAGGCTATAAGATGGTGGAAATCTATACTAATATTATATAGAAGTAAAATTTGTAAGTTTGTAAGTTTGTATGTAGGGGGTAATCTTTGGAAGCGATGGTCGGATTTCCAAATTCTTTCACTGATAGATAGCTACAATATTCCTGAGTGCTATATCTTATATATAAAAATGGATCGCAAAATGTGTTGTAAGCGCATAACTCAATAACGCCTGGACCAATTTGGCCAATTCTTTTTTTAAGATGTTCGTTGAAGTCCAAGGTTGGCTTACGGCGAGAAAAAAACGAATAATTGCCGGGAAAACCCTAAAAACAGCCCTTTTCTTTTTCACATACAAACGTTTTCTAACTAAAACGTAGAATCAATTTGAGCTTTATTGCTGTTAAACATAAGGTTCATATTAAATAACAAGCACTCACTGTCATCTAAGAAATAAGTAAAAGAAGAAAAGGTGTGTTCCTAACGTCAAAAAGTAAATTTGCACTTTCTTACCGCTAAACAAAGTTCAAATTCAATCATATCTATCAAAACAGTGTGCGCGTGTGCTTTGGAGCTGGAGCACAGAATTCGTCGTTTGAGGATTGATAAGTCGGGTTCCGAAAACAAAAAAAAAAATCCGATTTGAATGATTCTTTCAGTGTTATGAAGTCCATTTGTCGAGGAAGGTATATTTCATTTAATTCAAAATTAGGGATCTTTAATAAAATTGCTTTTTGTAACACAAGGAGTAAAATCGAAAACCTATTTTTTAACAACATGATGTACTACGGGTCTGTAGATTCTATTAAAACCTACAAAAAGTCCGCGAGAGCATATATCTAGCTATCATGGTTTAATCACAATACCCGATTTTGTGTTCAAAATAATTATTAAATCGTCTGAAGGAAAAAAAGTGGTAAATATGTATCGTAATATTATTCTTTATCGGAATTAAGCATTATGTTATCAAGAGTATTTATTTAGAAGTATTTTAAAATACTTTTTTATTTCCTCTCAATCTCTCAATCGTTTAAAAGTTATCATGTGTGTAAGATGTTATGAGTACCTTATTAATGAGTTATGGACCACATAGTTTTTTATCAATATTTTTCGTAATATATTTGTTGATGATTGTAAGTATAAGATCTTTGAAGAGTATAAGAAATACATTTCTAAACTAACTCTGCTAAGGAAAAGGAAATCCATGGAAAAACATACATCTTAATTCGGAAATGTCGTTGCGGAAGCCATACGATGTAAATGAATTAAATGAGTATATTACTGTAAATGCACCCAAGTTCTTTAATGACCAGGTAATGGCAAACAATAGGGTTATGCTCAGTGTTGTTTCAATGAGGGAAAAATATTTTTTTGGATGCTTCAGGCGGAACCGGCAAAACTTTCATTGGCTACTAATATGATATTAGCAAAAGTAAGGTCTCAGGGAAAACTAGCTTTGGCAGTAGCGTCATCTGGAATCGCTGCTACTATATTAGCTGGCGGACGCACAGCTCATTACACTTTTAAACTAACATAACCTAACCGTTCCGTTACTGAAAGAGCGTGTGCTCTATTCGTAAAATGGCACTTTAATAATCTGGGATGAATGTACCATGATTCATAGAGCTCATGTGGAGGCTCTAGATAGGACTATTAGAGATATTAGAGGCTGTGATAAAATCATGGTTGGGATTACTGTCATGTTTGCTGGGGATTTTCGGCAAACTTTACCAGTAGTAGTAAGAGGAACTAAAGTAGACATTGTAAAAAATTGCCTTAAAAGTTCTCTATTATGGAAATTTGTTCATACCTTAAAACTATCTACGGACATAAGAGCATATTTGGGAGGAGGTAGTACAAATTTTCCTTTGAAGTTACTTTTAGTTGGAGACGGAAAAGTACCTTATTTTGAAAATAAAATACCTATTGATCAAGATTTAGGAGAAAAAAAGACTAGCATTGAGAGTTTAATATCAAAAGATATCGTCGAAATAGAAAATAAAGATTATCAATGGAAGTGTGCACAGTCGGTGCGGTGGCTGGGCAACTGGCTGCCGTACAACGTGTCGCGGGTTCGATTCCCGCACGGAACAACAGTTTGTGTGATCCACAAATTGTTGTTTCGGGTCTGGGTGTCATGTGTATGTGACATTGTATGTTTGTAAACGCACCCACAACACAGGAGAAAATCCTAAAGTGTGTACAGTAGAGTAAAGTCTAAACAGTAGTGTTGACAAAATTAACGATTTAATTTTAACTAAACTTCCAATGGATCAAGAATATGCAGTCCATTATCTACAGGGATTTTTCATTCTTTAAACCCGAGGGGCATCCCATCACATTCTCTCAAGTTAAAAATTGGTGCCCCAATTATTTTACTTAGAAATTTATGTAACGGGAGACTTTAGGTTAAATTTGTTCGCAATAACGTGATCGTTGCAATAATAGTTCTGACTGGTCCAGTGGTTGGTCAAACAGTATTTATACCTCGGATCTTAATGATTCCAAATGATTTGCCTTTACATTTTAATCCAATTCAGAAAATAAAACGAAAAATATAATTTACTCAGAAGTACTTTAAAATGATATTTTAACCCGGTTTAAAGTGGACGGACACTCCCGCCTGTAGTCGTAATTCTTACTCTGGCTGAATTTCGAACAGATAAACAGCTATTGCTTACTTGACTTATACAATTTAACTTATTCTATATTTTTCTTAATATTATGCCTAAACCTGAAAAGTTTGGTTGTTTGTTATGAAGGCGGTAATCTCGGGAAATGCTGATCTGATAATTATGAAAACTGTTTAAATATTCAATAGTCCATTTATTGAAGGAGGCTATAATATAGGCAATATTTTATCTCGGTATTTCCACGGAAACGACGAAAACGCGGGTGAAACCGCGGGGCACAGCTAGTAGGCTATAAAACATCACGCTACGATTAAATGGAGCCGTGCAGCGGGTGAAACCGCGCAAGAGCTAGTTGGTGATAAAAACAAGATGTCTACTGCACGGTTGGCGCTATAGCTGGGCTATTGGCTGCCGCGCAACGTGTTGCGGTTTTGATTTCCGCACGGAACAACTCTTTGTGTGATCCACAAATTGTTGTTCCGAATCTGGGTGAAAAATCTGAAATTATGTTTGTAAACGCACCCATGAAACAGGAGAATATCTCAATGTCAGGCAACGATTTTTTATTTTAAATTCGTTTATTGTTTCTTGTGAATCTTCTTCTCTCTTTTCCTCCCGATTTTTTTATCATGTTATAGTTTGGCGAAGGAACAGACGGATTACCTGATGGTAAGCAATCAGCGCCGCCCATGGACACTCGCAACGGAGGAGTTTATGAGTGCGTTGCCTTACTCATACTCATATGGGTAGCCTTACTCATACGGCGACACACAACGCCGTAGTTATTTTATGCTAATTACATTAATCCTCCATTATATAATTATGACACAAATAAATATCATAGGGAGATTCTTTTAAATACACATCATCAGCCAATAAGTGCCCACTGCTGAGCAAAGGCCTCTTCTCACACCGAGTAAGTTTAAGCATTAACCACCACGCTTGCTCAAGGCAGATTGGCGATTACAAACTTTATAATTTAGGTTTCCTCACGATGTTCACCGTATATCAGTGGTGTCTAACTAATCATAAAAAGTACCTACATATAACTCGGAAAGAGACCTATTGGTACTTGCCAGGTTTCGAAGCAGGCGCTTTAAACTGCGGGCCACCACGACTTTAAAATATTTTAATCCTTAAATACCCTTCGGGACAACATTCTTGGTAATAACACTTATGTAGTAAGGACTAATTTCAAAATACAAAACTGACCTTAGTAGTAACAAAAAGATCTTCCCTCTTCACGACGCCATCTTTGATTTTCTTGTCTATGATCTTGCCGACTTCCGGTTCCACTCTATAGAGGTGAGCGGTGTCTATGTGCCTGTATCCGATGTCTATGGCGTACGATAGAGCCTCCATCATTTTTGGCATACCTGCAGCGCTGAATTCGAACTGAAAATGTTGGAAAATTTATTATTAGATGGATGTAAAAAGCATAGACTGTTTGACGTACCCCAATGTCAAATACGGTAGTTTCCAACTATTCAAATTCAATAGTTTTATCGAAATGTCAAAAACGATACTTTTCTATGAAATTTGTATGAAAAACTGAGGTTTGACGTCATAGTATTTTTGCGTCAAATAGCTTACCTATTTCTTAATAATTAGCAACAAAATATCTAAAACTTGTTGTGTCGATCGATCGCCGAATAAAAGTAGTTATTTTTAAATATTTTATTGTATTGAAACGTCGAATTAATTTATTTTTGACCTAGGAAACTAAACAATTGTCGCACGTGCTAAGTCACAAATTCCTCGCACTCTAGTCTCGCTTATTAACGATCTCCTGGACTCCAATCCAATTATTGATTTGTTTGCAGATGGATGGAAGGAAATTTTATTGGAGTGCATGAGGTATTGCGAGAAAAACTTATGAATGTTGTTATATTTTCTTGTTTTTTTTTTGTTGTTAAGGATATTGGATTTAATCCGTATTTATAGATCTTTTTTGTTAAGGTGATAGGCAGTGTCCGTGTATTTTTGATATATTTAAAATATTTTCAATTATTTATTTTTTACTCCCCGTAATCTCAGCCTTTTTAAAAATGGTAAAATACAGGTACAGTCAATAACTTTTTTTTTTTCTCTGACTTAGTAAAAATGCAAAAAAAAAATACCTACACATATTTAATGGGCGTTTATACATATGTATACAGTACCTACACACATAATATTTGCACAGGAAAATTATTAATGAAACAATGATTTAATTCACAAAACAACAGAAATGAAGAAAATAACAAAAGCAATTATTTATATTGAATGGACGACAAGACAGTAAGCCAACAGTTACATTTTGGACCCGTAACCGACACTTCTTTTTCAGACACAAAAAGCGAATTCATCACCAAAATATCCCTTCGCCAAGCCTAAAACTGCTGCAACCTGGGTGAGAGAATTCATTCGATGAATTCCCAATTTTCAAAAAGCTTTTTACTATGTTAAAAGTAAACACTTTTTTATGAGGGTTAGTATGTTAGGTGAGGCTATCATCAGGGCCGGGCGAGAGGGAGTGTCAGACTCTTACTGACTAAAAACCCCTCGTTCCTTCTCCTGCTTTGGGCCGAGGTCGCGGTGCCTTATTGCGCTTACCCCGCAAACCCGGCTGAATATCAGCCCTAGGGCCCCGTCTGAGAACCTACAAAAAAGTACTCTCTCTAAATACCTACAAAAAACTTGACAATATTGCAGAACACATAAAAAATAGAAAAATAAATTAATTAAAAAAATATTCGCTTTCTGACTTCAACACGAGCGAAGACGAATAAAAAGCTAAATTAAAAAAAAAACTTGTATGTCAATGCACAAACGTAAAAAAAACGAAGCACGAACATACATAACCTCCACCACCATAAAAAACCCATCGAAATTGTTCATTGATTCGTAAAAATACTGACCGAAAATGGTTTGCTTGGACCAGCATCCTCCTATGTAAAAAAAAATAAAGTCTTTAGATTCATATTACATCAAATCATCAAGCAAAGGCTTCTTCTCGCAAGGAGAAGGTTTGAGCACTAATCACTACGCTTACTCAAGGCGGATTGACGATTTCAAACTTATAGTTAGAAGTCCAGGTTTCCTCACGATGTTTTCCTTCACTGTTTGTTAGCGGTATCTAAATATGTATAACTAGCTTCTGACCGCGGCTTCGCCAGCGTGGTATGATAATAAAAAGTCTATGTCCTACACCGGAGTGTATCCTATGCCTGTGCCAAATTTCATCCAGATTCGTCCAGCCGTTTTGGCGTTATTGAGTCATCCAAATCCAAAAATAATACAAACATGGTAGCTTTCGCATTTATAATATTAGTAAGAGTAGGGTAAGATTAGAAAGTCACCCTGTTGTTTGCCAGGTTTCGAACCCGAACCCTTACGCAAATCGTTGGCCATCCACATCAACAAATGAATTGAAAAATACGGCTTCCTTAGAGAAATACTTTTCGAGAAACACTCTACTAGTTTCAAGTCAAACCGGGATTCATATAAGGTCGTGCGTGGCAGTCTTTTCCAATTAATTAATTTAGGATTTATTTCTTGCCTTGGATGTCTAAATTAAGGACCAAAGATAAATAATATCTTTATTTATAGTGTAAAAATCATAATATTAATTTACAATAAATATTTTTTTCTGTTACATAACTTATTTTAATAAACAGCCAAGTTGTTAATCAATGTCTAAGAAAATAGAAAATAAATTTAACATAACAGTTAATTAATAAATACATTTATAACTTAAAATATTTATAAATTATTTTTGTTTTTAATTCAAGTTACAAAATATAGACTAGCTACCCGCCCTAGCTTCGCACTGCTGATACTTAATTTCTCTTGGATGTTAAAATACATATAAACCTTCCTCTTCAATCACTCTTTCTATTAAAAACCGCATCAAAATCCGTTGCGTAGTTTTAAAGATTTGAGCATACATAGGGATATAGGGACTGAGAAAGCGACTTTGTTTTATACTATGTAGTGATATAATATAGTAACTCAAACACGTTTTTTTCTTGTAAGAAGCAAGGTCCCAGTTGTACTCTGCCTAATCTGGGTATACAAGAAACTACATAAAATATTTTTTCTTAAAAAACGAAACCTGTCAGCTTACCTTTTCATCCATTCCCAACCAGGTACCGTACCCCAACGCCGGGATTTTGTTACCATCGTTCATGGTAAATGTAGGGATGTTTACCTAAAACAAAAATATCATAGAATTATTAATAAAATAAATAAAAATACTTTCCCCCCATCCTCAACCCCCAAATCCCCTTTCCTTACATCCCTTATAACCCACAAGAGGCCGGCAAAGCTCTTGTAGTAACTCCTTTGGTATTACGAGTGACCATGGGCGACGCTGATTGCTTACCATTAGGTAATCCGTCTCGGTTCGTCTTCGTCTCGGTTGCCAACCGAAGACAAAAAAGAACCCAAACCTTATGAATCTAGTCATGATGAAATTGTTATGTCAATTGTGCGACGGCTTGATTTATCTTTCATCTCAATGACAGGTTTATTGCTAACGATGGTACTGTCAGTGATGATAGATCTATAAAGTATTATATTAATTAATTAATTATAACTAGCTTTTGCCCGCGACTTCGTTCACTGTGAGGTGGAAAAGTGACTTCCTGCAGTTTTTTAGTAGGTATAAATACTATCCTATGTCTTTTCTCGAGTTCCAAACTATGTCTGTACCACAGATAATCGGTTCAGTAGTTTAGGCGTGAAGAAAAGACAGACAGACAGAGTTACTTTCGCATTTATAATATTAGTTTGGATAATTATTAAGGAAATAACGATTAGTAGCGCTTCTTAATACTGCAATCCCGCGCGCGCGCAATGTTTTAGCGATTTAAGCCATTTATCGTTTTTCCCGTTCTGATTTTGGATCCGTAAAATGTTGTAAATGAAATTTTACTATCGTGGAAGAAGTTTACATAAAATTCTTTAGTTGAAATAGATCTGACCGCGGTAGACTAAGTGATTGTTTCATCTAATTTTCAAGTTACTGTTGTCAATAACATTTTTATCAACTACGTGTCTAAGTTTATACTTAGACACGTAGTTGATAAAAATGTGATTTTCTTTTTAAATTCATTTGGTGCTTTGTGATTACATTGTGAGAAAAGTTTAAGTGAGACTTGAGAGCGACAGTTGAAAATATTCGGCGAATAAGGGAAGTTCGCGGCCCGACCAGAGCCAGATCCGAGAGTACGGCGCGTAGAATTCCGCGCGCGTCTCTAAGAGCCAATAGACCACCACAGTCGGGGCCCTGTGCTAGCGCTAAAAATTACCACGGCCTTGGCCTAAAGCATAAGAAGGAACATGTGGTTTATAGTCAGTTAGAGTCTGACAGTAGGGGCGGAAGAAGAGACTGGTTGATTTTCTCCACTCTTTCTTTTTTCCTGTTAATAATTTCTTCTGATTTCTTTAATTGCGGGATCTAAGACTGTTGTTTTTATCCCCGGGACACCCAGTCTTATGTCAGACAGATTTAATATTTTCAACATCGTGCACCTTTTAACTAAGTAATCCTTCAATTTATTAAAGGTCTGAGTGACATTATGAGCGGTTGTAAAACATAAAAAGTTGTAATAAAAGTTATTACAGTACACAGACCATTTGAGCTCTCAACTAAATTAGAATATATTATGGACACTCGTAGTTTTGTTTGTTTAACTATACAGCTGATTATTATGATGATAAGAAGTGGCCATTATGCTAGCAATAGTGATGTATGTAAATTCATCATATTTTATTTCAACATTATCATTCTTACATGAGTCAAAAAGTCAAAAGTCAAAAATCATTTATTCCAATTAGACCCTTACAGGCACTTTTGAACATCAAACAAAATTTTGAAGATATAGTGTCAGTCTGTCGGTCAGTCCTCTTAGTGAAGCTAGTTGCTCGTTCCAAAGTGTAGGTTCCGATGGAGAAGAACGAGCAAGAAACTCCATGGTTACTCTTTTTAAATCAGTATTTAGGCTTAACACGTACCATGTAGTTCGTAATGATTTGTAAATACATAGGTATTGTGTATTTGTGCTATGTGATAATCTTGATGTAATGCCATTTTTATCATAATTTCCTTTCCAAATATGTTTAAGTATATGTATATGTTGTAATCGAGCAGCCGCAGTTAAAACGGACTTTTTATCTTATTAAGTATTTTGTGATAATATTTGCGTGATATTTCTAATTACATACATAATTATCTTAGCTTATAATATCAGCTTGTACTATGTATATATGAAGCAGCCAAATATTTGAATTAGCCATCCCACCAACGGCCTGAATGGCTAGGTAGCCGTTTTTCGTATTCGCCGGAATTTCGCATTCAGGCTGGCGGTTCGCTACTTCCGACCTCCACGACGTTATGCAAATAATAAAATATAGATTGTCTCAGTACAGAGCCTCTTTTGTAAGTAAACACATCAATAAGTATCCGAAGGCAAGTAATTCATTTCTTCTCCCGATCGGGTTGAGGCCCGGGAAGTGTCTTTGTTTTCAAAACTCCTTTCGCTCAAAAATCTCATATATACTAAAATCTTAGATACTAAATAACTATGCTGACAGGTAAATCATATATTTTGCAACCCTTTAATACCAAATGAGGTAGTACAAACAAATCATACTCATATCTGACAGAAAAATGTAGTGAAAATCTAATTTGGAAACTCAGAAAATATCTGTTCGTCATCCAAACTATAATATTATAAATGCGAAAGTAACTCTGTCTGTCTGTCTTTTCTTCACGCCTAAACTACTGACTGGACCTATTTGTGCGAAATTTGGTACAGACATAGTTTGGAACTCGAGAAAGGACACAAGATAATTTTTTTAACCAAAAATCTGCAAGAAGTTACTATTCCATGCGAAAAAAGTCGCGGGCAAAGGCTAGTAAAAATATATAAAGGTAATGTACCTCTTTACTTATGTAATCGTAAGTCTATTTTCGTTTATTTTACAATGGATTATAAATTTTTGATAAAGCCACTGATAAGATTAGTAAAAATATCACTACGGTAAATGCTGAAATGTTTATATTAGATGCACTATAGAGACAAGATTTATGCTCAGCGCTGTCCCTGGATGTCGTGGTGGCTTGGTGGTCAAGGCGCCCACTTCTCCTGCTTGAGGGTGCGGGATCGAAACCTGGCAAGTACCAATGTGACTTTTGCCGAGTTATATGTCAGTCCTTTTTTTTTGTAAGAGGAAAATCATCAAATGACTTCTCCCGCCCAGGGCCGGGCGGGAGGGAGTGTCAGATTCTCACTGACTAAAAACCCCCCTGTTCCTTGTCCTGCTCTGGGCCGAGGTCACGGTGCCTCATTGCGCTTACCCCGCAACCCCCGCAACCAATATGTCAGTACTTTCTACGATTATTTAGACACCACTGACATACGGGGAAGGAAAACGTCGTGAGGAAACCTGGACTTATAAGTCTTAAATCGCTAATCCGCCTTGAGCAAGCGTTTAAAGGTTAAAGCTCAAATCTTTTCCGTGTGAGAAGAGGCCTTTGCTCAGCAGTGGGCACTTAAAGGCTGATGATGTATGTGTGTGCTGTGTCAACAACGTTTCGCACAAGGCGACGCAAATTATTTTCTATATGTTTATTTCGTGCATGGCTTTACTTTTTGTAGTTTTTGCGTCGTTTGTATAAAATAAATGATTTTTCTTTCTAATTTCTTACTTGTGGGGCGTGTCGTGTCGGGTCGTCACAGAACGTCCCGGATTCTTACATAATACAGCTAACGACACGACACGCAAGTTTGTTTCTAGCTAATAGTGAATGAATGACACCGATAGGATGTGTTTTGCACGACACAACAGAGTAATAACCTCTTAGAATTAAGATTGTTTTCTTTTATGTCATTTGGTGGAAGGTAGGCGGCGTATTGGCCATTGTACATGCCATGGTGCGATGCAGGAGAAACTGGGAAGCTGTCCCCTCTTTCTGCAGCAGTTATGCTCGCAGAGGAGTTGGAGAGCGTGAGGGAAATATCCTACACACATTCCAGCCGCAGGAGGAGACACTCAGGGCGTTGTAGATCTGGTAACGATCTCCGGCCACCGTAAGCGCTGGTCTGCGGACGGAAGCTCGCCCGATCAGAATCAGACCCGAGTGTAGCGTTCTGTGTGCGCATTGTTTACACTGCACGGGTGGAGCGGCGGCTTAGCACTTGGCATTTGGCGGGTTTGATCCCTGCACGGAACAACTCTTTGTGTTATCCACAAATTGTTGTTCTGGGTCTGGATGTGATGTGTATCCACGACACAGGAATAAATTTAAAAAAAGTAACAGTCCTCTTGCCCTTAACTGGAAACTGTTTAGTTTTTTTTCTTCTCCTCAAATAATATCTTCTGAATTATTTCATTGCGGGATCCAAGACAGTCATTCACGTCCGGACTTCAGTGTTCCTGTGTTTTCATGGTTGTATCTACTGTAGATCCTGGAGTTGCAGCGGTTCCAGGAGGTTGCGGCGGGCTTGTCCTATTAAAAGAAAGTCCCTCTCGTCCTGGCAGGGACTTTTTTCATTTGGTGATTTTCCTTACTCGATTAAAAGGAATCCATGGTTTTTACGAACATTTCAAAAAGAGAGCAAAGCTAAGATAGCGCCACGACTTAATACATGTAATGTCTCTACACAACTTTCTAAATCCTGGTTTGATGCTCATATTCACAAAGTTTTATTAAAAACAGATAGGCAGTTTCTGAGAATTTCGACTGGGAAAGTTTGCACAAAAATCAGCACCGCATTCACGTTTCCAAACAATTAAAAGAATTCGTTAAAATATTCTATGTTTGTACCAACACTGTTAGGTACGCAAAGATTAATGCGTTCAAACAAAGTTATCATGATCAATATTATTTTGTTTTGCTAGTATTTTTTACGCTCTCGTAACATTTTATGGGTTCTTAAGTATAATTTTTTTGTAAGGTATAGTCCAGTCATTTTAGGTTTCATCTGGGGAAATATTCCTAGTGAGCTGAATTTTTGTCGCGAAATATTTGCAAAAAACTGATTTTCGTGACCTTTTGTCCTCTGTAATTTTTTTAGCCGACACGATATCGATGTCGATTTTTCACAACTTCATTCAGCTCACTAGGATTTTTTCCCCAGATTGGGGTATAAAATGCCTAAAATGACTGGACTAGTAGTCAAATGTCTTCTCCCGCCCTGGGTCGAGCGAGAGAGAGTGTCTTCTACTGACTAAAAACCCCCCGTTCCTTCTCCTGATCTGGGCCGAGGCTGCGGTGCCTCATTGCGCTTGCCCAGCAAACCCGGTTCTTGAGTATCTAAAGGGTGATATTGGGTTGGACCCTTATTACTAAGATTCCCTTGTCCGTTCTGCCGTTTATTTGTCTGTCACCAGGTTGTATCTCATAAACTGTGATAGCTAGATAGTTGAGGATAGATGATTGGACTACTGTTGTCGCTGTAACTATTATAAAAGAATATAAAATAAATATTTAAATCGCCAATAACATGTCGATGTGGCATAGTTGACTAGACCTAGACCATGGCGGTTAGAGAGTTAAGAAGTACCTATCATCCAATTAGTTTTCTCGTCATAGCTGGTAAGAGAGGGAGTGTCACACTCTTCTTGACTAAAAACCACCCCGTTCCTTCTCCAGCTCCAGGCTGAGGCCATGGTGCATTATTGCGCTTTACCTGCTACCCCGAATGACCTTTCGTAACCCTTCGTGGGCGAATCTGACTTTTTCTTGGACAGTTTTTTATACGTAGTTTTTTGTACATATTACTTTATACCTATTATTACTTTTTCTGTGCCCGACAGGGTCTATAAATGTATCTCTTCTTATATGGTATAGGTCGGCAAACGGGCAAACTGATTAGGTACCTGATGGTAAGCAATCAGCGCCACCCATGGACACCCGCAACACCAAAGGAGTCACGAATGCGTTGCCGACCTTTTAGGGATACGGGTTTTGAATATTTAAGGATTGAGAAGGGATGGGGGGCGGGAAAGGGATTGGGCCTCCGGTAACCTCATTCACACGGCAAAACACAAAGCTGTGGTTGTTTCACGCCGGTTTTCTGTAAGGCCGTGGTGTCACTCCGGTCGAGCCGAATCATTAGTGACGAAGTTTGGCTCTCCGACTATGTAAAGTAAAACATTGTGGAACGTAAATAAACAAATTGAATTGAATAATTAATTAGCGGACATTGTTTCTCACGTACATAATTAATACATATTATACATTTAACATACAACTTTTTTATACAACTTTTAGATAAAAAAAGACATGCCAAGATTGTTTACACTATACCATATGTAGGTACTTAACTTTCGAACTTCATAAACAAAACGATATCTTTTCGATAAATTACTATCTGCATAGAGGCCAGATGTAATTTGTTTTGAATTGATAATCTCACGAACCGGTCCCGATATTACACTTAACACGTAACATTCACAGTTTTAATAATAAATCTTATGAACTACGTACTAAACACAATACTAAAATACACAAAAACATACATTATACTCTACAAAAAGTGTTTTAAATGAAAGTTTTCAACAAATTAAATAAAAAACAAACTTACGCGCGCCATTTTCGAAGTAGCAGGTCCGTTCCGTGACGTTTCTAGACACACTGACTAACTAAAATGCCGGCAGCGCGCCACAGATTATAAACACACGACCATAGATTACGTAAGGCAGATATGTAATCTCATTTGTGATTTTGTTTATCTTATTTTGGTGATTCGAGTAAATTGTTTAGCGTCACAAATCGGGGAGTTTTGTTGATAAAAAATGCCCTTTCGAGAGATTGAGGCGTGAATGAGCAGTTTTATAACAATGATTTGCAATGCTAATGTGAATGAATATTGGCTTACTAAATCTAAATCTTAATAGTCATATTGGTTTATTAACTTTTCGTTTCCTGTAAGATAAATTGTGACTTGCAAAGAACTAAGTACCTACGTTGTTTAGGTACATAAAACTTATTGCAAAATTTGCGAAATTTAGTTGCAATATTAGGAAGGAGGCCGTTGGTCAGCTGATGGCACTTTCCGACTGATCATGAGGATGAGGTGAAATATTATTTACTTCTCTAGGTCTCTTTCTTGTGGGTGATAAATCATTAAATAACTTGTCCCGCGTGTATTATTGCACTTGTACTAGCATCCAATCCGGCTTACAACTCTCTTACCACTGATGCTATATATAAATTAAATAGTACCTATTTGGTATGTTATTAAACAATAAGAGAATATACTTAATATTACTAGCGCCCGGCTTTGTTTAACGGATGCTATTATGCATAATATAACCTTCCTCTTCAATCACTCTATCTATTTCAAACCAGCATCAAAATCCAAAACATATGGATATAGGAACAGAGAAAACGACTTTGTTTTATACAATGGTAGTGATTAATATAAAAATAAGGTGGCTGAAGCGTTTGTGTTGCTGAGCTCTACAATATTTAACCACTTAAGTAAAATTAAATTAAGTCATCTATTTCCCGGGTGAACAAATTATAGCTCTTGGGTCGACTCATTTCACCTGACTTATATCGCTTGGGTGAAGTAATTCCCAGGTTAAGTGAAGACACCGAAATGTGTACTTTGATTCCTTGGCTGAAATAACAGTACATAGTTTCACTGATGAACAGACTGAGTAACTAATATTTAGTTTTGATATTTCTTGGAGTGGTTTTGAGGGAGTATGAGACTCTTACTGATTAGAAACCCTTTCCTTCTCTTGCACTGGGCCGAGGTCGCAGCATTATTGCACTTTTACCAGCAACTGCGGCCCTATTGCGCAGGCTGTCTAACCTGGAGATAAGAGGTAAAAGGTGAGGCTATCCGTTGAGTTCTCTCCAGATGTTAAGGTTAAGGCGCCTGCTCCTCATGTCTGTCTCATGTATGAGGTAGCGGGTCTAAAAACTCTGAACTTGGCTAGTACCTACCTTTCAATGTGACATTTTCAGTTATATGTGTTGTTTCACAGAAAGTTCAAATGAGGAGGCGGAGCGCGTGAGGGAACTATCCCTCTCACGCCCCAGCTGCCGCAGTAGGCGACAATCCGGGTGTCGGGGATCGAGAGACGATCTCCAGTGAGGGTTGCTCGCCGCCCGACCAGATCCAGTCCCGAGCGGACGACGCGTGCCTCAAAGAGCCAAAAGACCACGACAGGCGGTGCCCTATAAGGCTGATGTTTAGCCGGGATTGCGGCTTAAGTGCAATAATTCACCGCGGCCTCGGCCCAGAGCAGGAGAAAGAACTGGGGGAGTTTTTAGTCAGTAAGAGTCTGACACTCTCTCTCGTCTAACCCTGGGCGGGAGAGGTCATTCGATGATTATCCCCTGACAAAAAAAGAGTTATAAGTGTTAGGTTTGGGTTGATGAAATTAAAATAAGTTTATTCATCAAAGAGATAGTAGAGGTGGAATTTATTGTTACACTTTAGGAGGTGTGTGTTGCCTGAAGGCGTCAGCAGAACAGAATAAAGGCGAGATGCAGACATCTCAGTGAGGGTTGACTGGCCACTTAAGGCACTTATACTAGTGGTGTCAGAAATATAAGTAGATTGATTTTTGTTATTCCATCAATATGTAGTTCCTAACTTTATATAGAATATGAAGGAAAACATCGTGTAGAAACTTGAACTTAAGTAATTTCTAATTAAAAGTTTGAAATTGCAAATTCTTCAACAAGCTTGGAGATTAGTGCTTAAACCTTCTCTATGTGAGAAGAGGCCTTTGCTCAGCAGTGGGCACTTACAGGCTTATAGATTTCATGCTAAAATCTGTCGCATCTGTAAAAACTTAGTCTTTGGTAGCGCTATTCCTGCCTTGCAGTTCCGTTGTTGGTACAAACAGCTACACACACCAGTTTATCGTGGTCTGGTTTTGTATAATCTTTTCTCCTATGTAAAGCTCAGTTTATACTGGTTGTGCGTAATTCTGTGTGCAAAAAGAAGATGGCTACTATAATACTATAATCTGCTCTAATCAACTCCGTACCGCCTCAAAACGTTTATATTTTGTCAAATCTCTTATGTCCCTTATATAGAGAGCAGTTTGTTTATGTAAATGAAGGCGTAAGGGAAAGAATATTTAGGTACGTTTTTAGTACTTAGAGACCAGGGTAGAAGCCTTCAAAAATAATGAAAAGTGAAAAAAAATTGAGAAATGATCTTTTTATTATCTACAACTTTACCATTTGACTTTTTTCGATAGGACTTTTATTTTTGATGGAAATCGAGAAAAACCGTTTTTTACCGTTTTTTACTCGATAAGTTGGTCCTACTACACAAATTCACCGTCTCAAACTTCTCTGGACTTCGAAGAATATTATTTAAAGACTAAAATTAAGTGAATCGGTCAGCCGTCACAGTTTTAGCGAGACTTATGAATGGGTATTCAGTTTTTTATAGGTACACTTGTAGAATGTACAATCATACATGGCGATTGTTAGAGAGGGAAATATGAACAGTGCAATATTAAATTGTGTACCTACGTAAGGTGATTGTTATCTAATTAGTAATTACACTAATTATTAAACGTCAAACAAAAAATAATTAAAACTTTGTGTGTGTCAAACTGTCGCTCTGTTCTATAGTGAAGCTATTTGCTCTTTCCAAAGTATAGATTCCAATGAAGAAGAACGAGCAAGAAACTCCATGGTTATTTTTTTTCAATCAGTTTCACAATTTTAGTGTTTCACGAATTCGTATTTTTTTATATTTGGCTACAGCGCCATCTATGTTACTATGTATCTACTAATAAACCAGCTTAGTTTTAAGTTATAATATTACTACCACTACTCGTCGCTAGATGTCGCTACTCTGACATAAAAATTCCCTCATTGGATTTTATTCTACTGAACACGAGATGGCGTTGCTAACTCAAAATCATTGTACAATATAAGATTATTATCAAGAAAATTGCTTGCTAAAGATACATATCAAAACAAGTCAGCGCAACGTTTCATTGAATCGCATTATTACATTGAAACGTATGATTATACTCAATATAAAGTCTTTTATTGCAGCTTTTTTGTTTTATTTTCGTTCTTGAAGCGCAGCTCATTAAGCCCACTTGTGTTTGAGAGCGGTAATTATTGCTAATTGACATTTATTATGGGGCGTTTCTTGAAAAAATGCGTGGTAATAAGACTCTAAGTAGTAATTTCGAACGAATACTCATGAGAAATAGTTTATTTCTTTGAGATTCGTAGCCTATTTATATTTGAATTGTACGAAATAACATTTTGTGGGCGTTATTTCCTTTTGAAACGTAAAATGTTAAGATTTGTGTTGTACCTACACTAGTACCTAGTGTCAGAAGTTGTAAAGGTCATGGGAGAGTGTTTCCTTTTCAAATAAAATGGCGGTTTGCTAGGAAATAATCTGTTTTATTGCTTCTAATTGGGTAGCAAGTTATTTTGTAACTTGATGTAGAAAAACTATTGAGTTAGAGTTAGTTAGTTAGGTTTAGGAAAGAATACTTTTGTTATAAAAATCAATTAAGTCTTTTTATAGGTACACTTTGCTGGGCAAGAGTATTGTCCAAGTCGTTCCACATCCCCTACGTCATCAAGTACTTAACGAAATAAAAATAGGTAGGTAACTGAGCGACCAAAAACATAATAATTATAGTGTCTTAAAAATTAATAAACAAAAGACAACTGTATAATTCGATTACTTTTTTTGATAAAGGAGGTCATGAAAATCCTCTTTATGGAATATTACCTATTTAACTGTATTAACGTTAGTATTTATTCCTGCATGGGGTGCTTATGTGAAGTAATTAAAATACGAGATACCTTTAACAATTTCAAAACGCATAATGCAGTATTTCGATTATAAAAAATGACATTTTTATTTTTATCTTCATTTAACGTAATCTACCCTTATGGTAGGGGAGACCGGGGATGGTTGGCTATAGGGGCAGGTAGACTAGGCGACAATAACGCGCCACCATCACGTGATTTTTATCAACCAATCACGAACGACGATGCCTTACCGCGGCCCGCTAACTCGTGTGGAGTTAGACGCCAGAGTCGCGCAGTGTTAGTGAGTGGCATCACATGTTGTGTTTTTGGTCTCGGTAAGTAATGTTTTTATTCGTATTGTTTTTTGTTATTGTGTCCATAGATCAGTTTGAAACAATTTTTTTGTTATGCCAAATGTAAATATGACAGCTTTATTCTATATCAAACAGTATTGCTTCCATGTTAGTGTCACAGTTTGCATACGATATCGAGTTAAAATTCAAAATGGCGTCCGGGGTTGGTTGACGATTTTTCTTCGGGGTAGGTAGACTAATTAGTCAACCAACTTTAATTACTTATAATGTAAATTTTATACTTATTTTAAAGAAGTATGTGGGCTAACTTAGAGCACCCGACTCCACTTGGCTCAAATTTAACAAATTAAACAAATTTGTTTAATTTGTTATTCCTACCCGCGGAACCTGAAGACTCGCTTCGTCGGTCCTTCGCCATTCCCGGGGACGCGACCGAGTGCATCATTAATGTTAACACTATTATGGCTTCCCTTACATACTAATTCGTAGTTTTGTATTTTTTTTTAGAGTAATGATGATCTGTCAGATGGAAGTGACGACGATGACGCAATTTGTCTGGTATGTACCGAATCCTATTCTGCCAGTAAATCTGGTGAAGAGTGGGTCCAGTGCATTACGTGTAAGTTATGGGCTCATTCTAATTGTGCAAAAGGCAGATACACTAGATAAGATTCATACCTAGGTAAGTTTTAAAATTTATATATATAGATAATTATTATATATATAATTTATAAATATATATATAAATTTAATTCAAGTTGCAATTAAGGTTCAAACAGAAAGTACAAAATGTTTGTTACTTATTGTCAAGTTAGGTTTTTAATAGTTTAATAAGAGACTGTTACCTTTATCAATGTTCTTTACTAATGGAGAAGGATCTCAAATTTAAGTTTGTTAATAATTAAATAAAAAATTTTATCATTTAGTATATTTTGATGTTTTATTTTATACTAATCCTCTTTATTCATACTAATTACTGCTTAGGTCAACCTACCCCATGCTAATGGCCAACCAGCCCCGGATATGGGGTAGGTTGACCAAATGTCAGGGGTTTAGAAAATCAACTAAATAAGTATAATTACGAGAAATATATAGTTTATAGGTAAGTATTTTAGGTACCTGAATAGTTATTCTACCTGTATCAACTTTTGTTTTTTATAAATCACCCTAAACATCGGAAATATTGAAGCTTAAGTAAAAAGTTGGTCAACCATCCCCGGTCTCCCCTAACCAAAGTAAACAATCCGCAAAGCAATTCACCAATTTAAAAACAAAAACAAAAATCCGCAAACAAACAAACAAATTTCCAAATACCTAATTACAGAACCCCACCTAATTTGAGACCTATTAATTACAAAACGCTTCAGGCACTTTTAAAACGAAAATGACTCAAATATACAAAAGTGACTTGTAAGTCCGTTTTTTTTAATTAAAAGAAGAGGGCGACACTGTACTGCACGGTATCTGTTAGAAAAACGCGCGAAAAGAAAACATTATCAGTGTTTTACGAGTAAGAAAGACTTATTTTCTACTAGCTAAGATATTTCGTGGTTCGTTTGAATTTGGCGAGTTACTTGCACGAGTACCTATTTAAGTTTTATGAACATTCGTTATTTTTTATTCTTACCTTTCAAAAGTAGTAATTAAAGATACAATAGGCGCGCGAACACCGACGTTCGCTTCGGATTTAATGCACTAAAGATAAACTTTTCTGAATTGTATTTTCTCCTGTAAGTGGGTACGTTTTCAAACATACGATTTCACATAGGTAAGTACACATTATAAGTACTCATCCGGAGCCTGGAACAAACATTTTGTGGATCACACAAATAATTTTTTTCCTTCCTTGTAGCCGTCTATGTAGTACCTACACACTGTGAAAATTGAAACAGAAATATATGAAATCATATTTTTTTTTTGTTTAGATAACTAGCGAGTACCCAGCTTTCCACCCCGGCTTCGCACGGGTGTAATACTGATACAAACTGTCTCTACTATTTAATGGATGTTATTATACATATAAACCTTCCTCTTCAATCACTCTATCTATTAAAAAACCGCAACAAAATCCGTTGCGTAGTTTTAAAGATTTAACCAGGGATATAGGTACATAGAAATTGACTTTGTTTTATACTATGTGGTGATAATGGCGTGGCTATGACCAACTACTTTATATAGCAGGTTCTAAAATATTTCGAAAACAAAATTGGCAGTTAGGTGGTTCAATGGGAAAAAATCACTTTAAACATGTAATTGAAACGATTTAGGTTATAAATTCTCTGCGTATCAAATTATAAAATTGGTTTTCAATATAGAACTAAGTATATATTTTCTTTTGTTTTAGAAGTAACAATTTGATCACGTTCCTACTTATATAAGAAATGGAATTATTGATACATAGTTGTTAAGCCGACGAATAAATAATATTTATTACCTATGGTTTTGTAATTGTAATGTAAAACCTACTTTTCTGGAAAATTATATGCATCTATCTTTTCCTTTGTTCAACCGTCTCCTAATGGTAGAGCTCATGAAAATTTCTTTTATGGAGTTGGTTTAATGATAATGAAACACCAGGTCCTATAGTATACTTAGTATTGGTTTTTTAGCGGTGAAAATGATGAAATGAATTCTCCCGCCCTGGCTAGAGTGAGAGGGAGAGGCAGACTCTTTCTCCAGGCCGGGTCTGCGTAAATGAGTTAGTTCAGCCAGTATCGAAGTAAAGATTTATATGAGTTGTTTGCAGACCTGATATGTACGTATATAGAAATTTCAATTTAAAAATCACATACAATCTTCTTTAGAAAACAGAAATGGTAGGTACCTACTCTACTTTTTTATATTTTATTAAACTTATCCAATTGTGAAATAATTATTTCAACTCTAACCATCATTTTGCCTTATCTTACACATTACCTTACATATTACATTGCCTTATCTTACACACACTTCCAAACAATTTTCAAAATAATTTCCTAAAAACTTTAAAAAATAAACATTGCTTGAAAAAATATCTTCTACATCCCTACTCGACTAGCTACTTTCATCACACGACGATCCAGTCTAAACGCACCACCAGACGCTAAGCACTTAAAAAAAGTGACTAATTAAAAAACTCCCTCCTATAGGGTGGAGTTTTTTATACCTCTCCCTCCCCCTTTCCCCTACAGGTAGGGGTGAGGGAATGAGCGTTTACAAACGATGTTACATTTTTGCAGCATTTTATTTTGTGTAATAGAATGTTGCTTGTTATTTCTGTGTCTTAGTTTTTACTTCTCCGTTTGAGAAGAGGCCTTTGCTCGGCAGTGGGCACTTACAGGCTGATGATGATGATGTGATTATGTGTTTTTGTAATATTGACCTATATTTAGGTATATTTTTTGATGCCTTGCTACCAATACCTAGCTTCACTGCCAGACTGACAGACTACTATTCTATTTTGACGTTTCAAATGTACCTATTTATTATGGTTTAGCTGAAATAAATGATTTTGATTTGATTTGATTTGATCAACCAGTATAGGTTTAGGTACATTTTACAAAGAATTTAATTGTTATTTAAAAAGAAAAGGTAACCATTGAGTTTCTTGCTCGTTCTTCTCCATTGGAATATACACTTTGGAACGAGCAAATAGCTACACTAGAGGACTGACAATTTTATACTTAAATATTTTGTTTGATTGTCAAATTATGAATTCTATGAGTCTGCAATTCTCTCTCCACCTACCCAGAGCGGGAGATGTCATGTGAATAAAAATGAATTGAGTATTAGGTATATTAAACAGTTCTTTTTTTAATTAGTCTAGACGTTGGGGTTCATTTTGATATGTTAACCTGTTGTACTTTAATATTATTTTAATGTATAGTGTTAAATGTACCTATATCCTTTTTTCAATAAAGAAAAAAAATATTATTATTTTTTAATTAACATTTTAGTATAGTTTTACTTATGAATTGAGTATAAGAATAGTTTTTTTTATTAGGTACTTATATAAATTAGGTAGTATAGTTTTACTTAGCATGCTTACAAATAAGCAACCTATTCACGCAGACACCTAGGTTCCTTTTGGAAATATACAAGCATGTCCTGGCCCAAACCTCCCTTATCTGTCAACGCACTCGTGTGTCCTGTGGTGTTGTGGGTTCAGATACATGGGCGGCGCCGATTGCCTACCTACTAAACAAAGAAAAAAAACTGAGCTTGTTCGATGATGTACTTACTTCTCCAAGAGTTGTGAGACTGTAAGACCCTGCACGTCGATTCTATAAAATTTGTTTGATTTTGAATCGTGTTCGAGTGCGAAGTGAGCGTCGAAGTGACGGGGAAATTACGTTATAGAATGCCACTTTTAACGTCATCTCATACTTTATCTATCAAAATGTTGCTGTCAATTTAGTTCAACTCGCAAGTGTAGCACTAGTGTACTACTAGGTACTCACGGCGGATTCAGATTCGAAGTTTAGAATGAAGTCTTCTTCTCACTGCAGATTAGCAACCTAAACATTGACTTATTCTGCACAAAGGCGGGCACAGTCAGACGACTTTTAACTAAATCATTCTTTGATTCTCAGTAGCGGTTCTCAAATTAATATTGAGATTGATCTGGTATTTATTCCTTTTTTTTTCGATAGTTTTAATAATTATAATGTGAGGGCTTGTCAATAGCAATTTAATAATCTAGTTTAAGTTATAATATTTAAGTAGGTACTATAAGTCTGTAAGCCATCTGGAAGAATAAAAAAAAATAATTAAGAAAGGATGAAAACTGAAGATGCCATACTCAAAGACATTAAATCATTAATTAAACTGTTATTTTCAGTAACGATTTTGCGAAAAAAATATAACTAAGAGCTAGGTAATGATTAAATAACTCTGAGTACCGAAGTAAGTTTATTTTATCTATCATCTAATTAATTTAAACATAATACAATAATGTCTATTTGATACTTAACAGCCTGATTTAAAAAAATGAAAAATATTGAACTAAAATGGTCTACCTACTATTACGTTTTTAAACTACTTATATAATATTTGAATTAATAGGTATATATACCTACCTAAATAAAAAATGTCACGTGAGATAATACCTAGTTAATATTAAAAAATAAATTTTCATTCTGAAAAAACTGATAAATGTATATGGCTAACCTACTAAATTTAAAAAAAACATACAAATTGTAACGAAATACCTTCGTTCACCCACAGACCTACATAAATCCGAATTTCGAATTCGTCGAACACTCGAAAAATATATTTTTTAAAAGCACAGACTAAAAAATTGCCCGAAGTTTACTAATTAAAGCCACCCAATGGTTCAAACTTAAAATGGCGGCATGCTGTCCTATCACAAAAAGGGCACTCAATTAAGACGCGCAAAATCTCGGAGTCAATGCAATGATGAACAAACAGACATTACAATATAATAAACTGCCGACGAATATAATAAAAGCAAGAAAGTATAAATAGAAAAAAACCTCGGCGCTCCGCCCCCTTGTGGGTATGTTACGGGCCACGCCTAAAGTAGGGGGGTGGGAGAATCATTCGCCAGTCGCCTCCGATTCGCATATAGAGTTAACGTTCGAAAAGTTAAAACCTCTTTTGTGAAAGATTTTCAATTATCTGTCAAAATTTGTATTGTCTATGTAATTTTTTTTTGTAATCTACGCGTTTCTCGATTTGCCGCGCATTTTTGACGTTTGAAGGTTTTTTGAGAGTAAAGTTATTCATTCCGTCGCGGTTTTTTCGGTTCAAGTGCATGTGTTACTGTGTGTGGTATCCTATGGACTGTTTTGTTATGTTTTTCGAATGAAAATAATATTATAACTATGAAGGATTGTTTCACGTAGTGCTCAAAGTGGGATTTTTTTGAAATGTAAGTATTTTTTTCGATATTTAATAACCTTACTCGCTTTTAAGTCATACCGGCTTTTTTGTTTTGTTTGAAAAGAGAAGGTTTTAGCAGTGCCATAAATTTGAATTAAGATTTCAAAAAGAAACTAGTCTTAACAACATTATTAAAAAAATAACG